AAGACTGGGTACTGCGTGACTCAATGTAAGGCCTACGGAGAGCCTGGGAAATGGTTTCCCCATGAGTGGCTCTGCGCTGCATGAATGTCTCTCTGTAGTACACGGTTCGCTCGTAGTCCGGGCCATCTGCTTTCGTCTGTCTTTGTCTCTCCCTTTCCTTAGTCATTTTTTGTGGCGGGCAGCTTGCGTCGTTGATTGTGTTCAGTATGAGGTTGATTGTGTCCGGTAGTGCCTCCGTTTCTTGGTGCACTGTCTTCGATGGTACTTCTGTCCGTGGACGGCTCGCTCGTAGTCTGAGCCGTTTAAACCTGTGCTCGCCTTCTTCTCCGCTGATCTCGCTGATCTGTTTCGTGGCTGACTGAGCGTCACTCCCGCTGACTGAGCGTCACTCCTTGTGTGAAGAGCCTGGGAAATAGTCTTTCACATGAACGGCTCTGCATTTCACGTATGGGAGGGGTCTGTTGTTGAGAAATGCAGTGCGTCTGTCCGTTCGTCCATGGACGGAATTGCTCTCTGTTTGTCTGTTGTCGCCATGGGCTGTGTCTCCCTTCTCCCTGTGCACGGTTTCGTCCGTAGTCCGAGCTTTGTGGTCTCTCGTTTCCTGTGTTTATGTAGTACGAGCTGTGTTCGTCCTTGTTAGGTTTGTCAGGGTGGGTGTGGTCGGTGTGCTGGTGTGTCCATTTGGCGTGGCGTGGCGTGGCGTGCGTGAATCATTATTCATTGATTTGATCGCAGGCAGGTGCGCATCTGTCCATCCAAAGCGGCGACCGTCAGGTGAGCAAGGTATTCGCAGAGAGTATTGTGTGTGCACAAGTCTGCTTTCTACAGCATGTGACCAAGTACAACGAGGAGACCCCGCCAAGAGCATGAACCTCGTGCTCTTCGACGACGCCCTAAAGCACATAATGAGGATCTCACGCATCATGCAGCTGCCCCGCGGGTCGGCCATGCTTGTGGGTGTCGGCGGCTCTGGCAAGCAATCGCCCGCCACAAGCGATTCCAGATCACCATCACCAAGACATACGGCGAGCAGGCCTTCTTCGACAATCTCAGGTACACGCACCAGCAGACACCCATCTTCGTGTCTCCTTGTGGCGCTGGCTGGCTGGCTTGCTGCAGGGGTCTGTACGTGGATGCGGACCAGGAGGTCAAGCAGGAGAGCTTCCTCGAGTACCTCAACTCGGTCCTCTCCACTGGCGAGGTAGCGGGGCTCTTCCAAAAGGACGAGCGGGACGGCATGTGCGCTGAGATTCGTAAAGACTTCGTCAAGGAGCGACCATGGCTCGAGGAAAACATGATCAGCATGTACCAATACTTCTTCATCCAAGGCATGTTCAAGCGCAACTACACATTTCTCTTTCCCTCTCCTCCTCCCCTTCGATGTATCCAGAGACAATCTCCGTGCGGTCTTGTGCTTCTCGCCTGTGGTCCGTGCGCAGAAGTTCCCGCCCTCTTTAGCTGCGTGACCATCGACCGGTTTCTGCGCTGGCCGGAGGAGGCCCTCATCGCCATGGCGTCGGCCTTCCTGTCCGACGACAAGGTCGACACTAGCCCCGAGAACAAGGAGAAGCTCTACCGGCTGATGGACACGGTGCACGCACAAGTGGGTACGATTTGCGACCTCTACTTCGCGGGTATGTGTCGCCACGTGTACGTGACGCCCAAAACGCACCTGCTTTTCATCAACTTCTACAAGAAGGTGTACGAGGAGAAGTTTGACGAGATCAACAAGCTGGAGCGGGCGGTCAACGTGGGGCTGCAGAAGCTCAGCGAGGCGACGGCTGACGTCGATACCTTGCCGTTTTTCCTGGTGAAATATGTCTCAACCACTGTGCTGGTGAGAGAAGAGACATGACTTGGTCCTGCGAAAGGGGAAAGATGTGTGTGTGTGCGTGTGTGTGTGCCACTTGTGGATCAACCAGTTTGGTCAGCCATTGTCGTGGAACACGACATGCTACACGACAGCTGAGGTGCAGTACGCGCTTACTATCTCGGCAGGCAGGCAGGCAGGCAGGTGTGTATGGACGAACTTCATCCCTGTGCGCTTGCGCTTGCAGGAGCTGCTTTTGGGCATACTCTTGAACTCGGCGAGCCGATTGTTTGCTGTGTGCATGTGCATGTCCTTGCTGTCGACTGCCCAAAGACCTGCCTGTGCGTGCCTGGCGGCCGCAAGTGTGTGTGGCCATTCACTCACCCCACGTGTATGCACGTTAGCGCCACATGGACATTTCTCACACGGCAAAGGCTGCCCCGAGCCATCAGTCCAACGGCGCTTAGCGATGTACCAGGCCTCTTGTCACAAAGGGAACCGGTGCTCTGACGAGTTCATACGGTGGTGAAGATGGAGAGAATCCCACAATTCACCTTTGTGCGAGCTCAAGCTCGCGCTCCTCTTGTTCCTTTGGAGACACCTTTGATGAATGGCGGCACCTGTCACTTCGTCAAAGGCTCAAGATCCCACCGAGATTTACACGACTTATGATGTAGTGGGAAAGGTCAGCAATCAAACAACTTTCGCGCCCCCTCGCCTCGTGTGTGACGTCTCTTTCTCTATGCAGAGCGCCAACTCCAGGGTCATTCGGGCAAAACAGAAGGGCAGCAACGAGGTCCGTGCTATCAAGATCACGAAATGCGACCGCACCTCACATCAGAATATCGAGAAGGAGATAGAGATGATGAAGGCCTGCAGGACCTGCCCGGACATCGTCCATCTCTATGGCACACACGAGGATTCAGAGGGCCGCAGCTGGGTAAGTCCGTGCAGCCAACCGAGTGCATGGCTCTGCCTTTCCTGTGTGCGTGTATGTGTGCGTAGATGGTGATGGGAGTACTGTGAGCATCGCAGCCTGGGCCTCATGAAACACCTGGGCAAGCTGTCTTTCACCGAAGACGAGATCCGACATGCCGTCCGTGCGCTGGTGCGTTCCATGACGTTCATGCACGCCAAACGCATCGTCCACCGGGATGTCAAGGCAAACAACCTGCTTCTCACTCGCAAAGGACGCGTCAAGTTGTGTAAGTGGGGGAGGAGGGCAGTGGACGCACGCATCGTTATGGCTGTGCCTGTGCGTCTCTTGGCCGTGCCATGCAGGTGATTTCGGCGCATGTGTGCAGCTCGGGGGCGACACTTCGGCCTGCAGGACGCCAGTCGGTGGGTGGGGGGGGTTGGATGCATGGGGGCAGAAGGAAGAGCATCAGAGGTAGGTGTGTGTGTGTCTGTGTGTGTGTCTTGTCAGGAACTCTGACGCACATAGCACCAGAGGCCGTCTACTCACCACCCTCAAATCTCGAGAGACACTATGGCAGTCCGGTATGTTCACACAAAAGATGCGCACCACATCCACTGAATCTGTCACTTGTGTGTCTGTATCTGCGTCAGGCTGACATATGGGGGCTGGGTGTCACGTGTATCGAGTTGGCTGAACGCGACCTACCTGTCGACCGGAAATATATCGAAAACAAAGGTACCTTCGAGGCGAGAACAGAACACGTCTATGCCATCGGTGAATGGCCGAAGGGCTGCTCGCGCTTTCTGTGTGCGCAGGCCTTGATGAAGGTCAAGCATGAGCCGGCCAAGGGTCTGCGGGATTTCAGGTGACCATCACCCTCGATCAGCTCTGGCGCATGTGTCTGTCCATGTTCATTTGGACAAAAGGAAATGGTCACCAGAATTCTGCCACTTCGTCAAGTTGTAAGACAGTGTATCAGTCCCTGAGCAGTGCATCCATCTGTGTCCTTTTGATTCGTGCAGGTGTCTGACTGTCGAGCCTGAGGACCGCCCGACAGCACTAGAGCTGCAGCAGCACCCCTTCCTGCAGAAGGACATACCTGATGCAAGTCCTCTCATGTAAGCAGGCTGGCAGACACCCGATGAGACCAGCAGACACGCAGACACACGCCATCACTGCTGCCCTCCTTCTATGGTTTCTTTCCCACAGTGCCCCTGGCCGTCTGCCGGATCCCCCTGCCCTGCCGAAGGACCCTACGGACATCTCCGAGCTTCTTGACGGCCTGTGTGAACTCTTCGTCCCCATTCCCCCTCCTTTGCCCCATGGGCGCAGGGAGGCGTCGATCAGCAGCAATGAGGGCTCAGCAAGGAATGCCGGCTCAGCGAGAGAAGTGGTACGGGACACATGAGCACACGCGTGTCATCCACCCGTGTGCTCATGTGGTCATGCGTGTAGGTCGAGGCTGCGTCTGCAGTCATCAGCACGGTAGGTATATGCCGCCGACACGCCAGCTGCATCTATGTCTGTGCGTGTGTGTTCTGCAGGCTGGCCTGGATCTGTATGAGGGGTAGGAGAGCGGCAGGGGCCGCCACTCACGCACACACCACTCATCCATTGCTGCCTACTGTATGTCCGCAGGGAGATAGCCGCGTTCGAAGTGGAGCTCAGGGGTAAGGCGTTCTTCTTTGCAGCGGACGAGCTGACCTCCTGGCGCCTGAATCACAAGCGCCCAGCCCATCCTGAGATGCGCATCATCAACCTTGCAAGACACAACCTACGGGTGGGTTGTTGGTGGGTCGGTGGGTGGGCGGGTCGATGAGTGGGTGGGTGGGTGGGTGGGAGACCAATTCAAGGCCCTCATTCTCCTGGTTTTTGTGCGTGTCAGAGTGCTGACGACATGCGCAATGCCAAGCTTGTGGAGGATGCCCTTCTGGTTGTGTGGGAAGAGAAGAAGAAGTCCGAGATCATAGTGGGCGGTAAGGGCAGCTCAATCACACACACACACACACACACACGGTGGACTCATGTGTCATCTGTTGACGCTGGTGGGGCGTCATGTTGTGCAGTGAAGCCCGTCCTGTTCATGTTTGCGTTGGTTTTGAAGAAGGTGACTGGAAGGAAGGCGCAGAGCCTCGTGTCGTTGGCAGAGTGGGTAAGACGAACACACGCACATGGGCAGACACGGGAAGGAGGTGCGAACTTGGCTTTAATGTCAATCAGTACAAGAAGGAGTTTGGCTGCGAGCTGACCGACAAGATCAGGGACATTCTGACAGAGCTCGACAGTACGAATCATGCACCCACCCACCCACCCACTTATGCAATCGCTGGCTTCTGCGGTGCTGCAGATTCCGGCGACCTATCACGGTCTTTGCCAGATCTCGAGTGGAAGAAGAAGGGCCCCGATCACACCTTTGCCGAGACCGCCGCTAACTTGGCACGGGTGTCGCAAGAACGTCTCACCGACACCTTCGAGTTGGTCCGGCGGACATTCAGTGGACGATAGGCAGCCTGCGGAGAAATAGATATGCAGAAGTGTATCCGACTGACTGACTTCATCGTGACTGACTGACTGACTGACCGACTTATGTGAGGTGTGCTGTGACCAACACAATGTCATTGCAAAGAAGTGCAAAGAATTGCAAAGAATTAGGCGGATGCAATCTCATTCTGAGCAAAAAGCAAACCAAAACACACGTCAAAGTCATTCGTCCTGCATGCGGCGCACAAGACAAAAGGCATGTGTGCGTGATGTGATAACCACAGCTGCTTTGTGCAATTACGGTTCTTGAGACTGAGTCGAACGGCCCTTCAGCTCACTCGTCCAGTGCACCTGGCTTCCATTCAACACACACTGCCCCGCACCAACACCCACTCAGCTCTACGTCAAGCAACAGGAAAGCGCAGAGACATGAGACCATTTGCCAGTCCGGCCGTTCAAGCGTCGATCAATCACCTCGGCCTGGTTGGATAGTCGAGTATTGACTTGCACAGGACGTCTCTCACGGTTCTTCATTCTTCTCTTCCGGAAACCGCACACACATTGATTGGTTGGCCGCATCGGCGGTCCGTGTCTGTCATGATTGTGTTCCTTACGGCTGGACGCGTGTTGGGTCTTTGGTCTGCGAGAGGATCTCCAGCAGCTGATCATTGGACAGGAAGTATACCTGGATGATTAACTGCGCTTCGTCTCCAGGTAATCATCCAAATCTGCATACATGCGACAAACAAGACAACTGTTGGTTCGACGGAGACGCGTCGTCGACGGGCGTAGCGCACCTTTCTAGACGATCTCGAGGTTCTTGTTTGCCTCTTGGAATTTCAAGAATATTTCCAGGGTTGTCCACGGACTTGAAGCGTTTGCCCTCGGCCGGTAGCTGCTTCATGATGTCGGAGTCGAAGATGGGCTGCAGGTAGAACCACGACCGCCGGCAATTGAGCCACTCGTCGAGTGCCTCTGAGACTGTCACGAGTTTGGCGGCCCATTCCTCTATCTCCTCCTGGAAGGGCTTCTTGAACGGACTGAGCTCATCGCCTGGGACGTCAGGATGTGCTCGTCAAGCAACGCGCTTAAGCTTACCTACAGCCAGCAGAGACATGACAACATCCCTTTGCGTGTCTGTCGTGTGTGCCTTACGTCGTCCGATCCCTTTGTACAGGATGTCACCGGGGTGTTCCGACATGTGTCGTTCGCAAATGAACTTATTCATGGTCCTGGCGAAGTCCAGGGTGACCTCCGAGCAAGGCGGCCGTGTCGAGATGGGCGGCCTATCCAACAAACGAGTCACTGATCAGTATCTGAAACACACACACACACACACACATGAGAGGGTAGATATCCGGCACTGGTTGCTCTGGGTGTGTGCCTACCGTGTCCAGCAATCTCCTCCGTGGGCATCTTATCGATATAGAAATTGTACGTACAAAATCAGACCCTCGGAAAACGCCTCAGCTAGTGAGCCTTGGCAACACGGTCAGCAAAAAAGAGTTGGGTCTTCAGCTTGAAGCCAGCAAACACAAAATGGATTCCAATCGACACTCCCTCTCTCCCTCCCTCGCTCCCTCCATCCATACATCAAAGAGAAATTCAAGCCTGGGAGCTGTGCTGCGACGTAGTCAGTGTGCCACCTGAGGTCGATCTTTCTTGGCTTGGGGCCCACGCCAAACAGGAGACTTGTCTACTTCCTCCACCGAGGTGCAGGCCTTTTGGAGCACTCGATACGATAGTTTTAGGTCTTGCCACCGCTGGTGTGCCCGACAACCATGAGGCCGTGTCACACCTGGATGGTGTCGTAGAGCTGGATGACCTGGCTACCCTGGCTTCACGTTGAGGGCCTTTGGCGACTCTTGAATGGCGTCCAGCAGCCTGCCGTGGTCGATCGTGGGCCGCTCCACACCCGGGAACAGATCGCTCTTGTGAGTAACTTATGCTATTGACGTCTCGCAATGCCCGCAGCGGCAGCCTGTCCTCGTCCATCAGATCAACACAGGGAGAGAGACACACAAATGCGTCTCTGTGACCTGGGTCAGCCATATGGGTCCTGTCTCGCCGCTACCGTAATCGTAGTGATCCTGCGGACAAGCAGCCAGCCATGGGACCGGACCGAAAAAAGAGACTGTCATGATCGATGTCGGAACGTAGCGACCATCTTCCGAGAGAAGTCGAAAGATTCGAGCATGATCTCGCCGATAAGAGCGCCTTGGGGCTTCGGACAGCTCAGTGCGGCCTGCGTAGCCCGGTTTAACAGAAGAATGCGAATCACTGGACCCTCGAAATCTCCTGCACGCACAGCGCACCCGCCCGCATACATACAGAAACATTCTGTCTCTCATGCTTTCTACATACAGTATTTTGTATGTCTTGGTGATGGTGATCTGGAATCGCTTGTGGGGGGCGATGTAGCCGGCAAGGTGAGTGAGCGATTGCTTGCCAGAGCCGCCGACACCCGCAAGCATGGCCGACGCGCAGGGCAGCTGGATGATGCGTGAGATCCTCATTATGTGCTTTAGGGCGTCGTCGAAGAGCACGAGGTTCATGCTCTTGGCGGGGTCTCCTCGTTGTACTTGGTCACATGCTGTAGAAAGCAGACTTGTGCACACACAATACTCTCTGCGAATACCTTGCTCACCTGACGGTCGCCGCTTTGGATGGACAGATGCGCACCTGCCTGCGATCAAATCAATGAATAATGATTCACGCACGCCACGCTTCGCCAAATGGACACACCAGCACACCAACCACACCCACCCTGACAAACCTAACAAGGACGAACACAGCTCGTACTACATAAACACAGGAAACGAGAGACCA